TAACAAAGTTTTTTAACTTATTAGCATTCAAACAATTTTATGTCATATATGCGCATGCGCATAACATCTTTTTAAATGGCAATCCATTATTTTTGCCAACTATTTTACTCTTATTTTTATGAATTTTAATGGTGAAACCAACTTCCTATGCTTAAAATACCGAGTTATGGATACTTGAATGATTGATATTATTTTTGACATTTTGAAATATTCATCAATTTCATGGCTTAAATTCTTAACACCTCGATGATATCTTCTAGATATTTTTAGTATCCTACTTGAAGGATCTCTCTTCCCATATAACTTAATTTTTAAATTTGCTTAGAGCGATTTAACTTGTTTGAATATAATTTTATTTTATTAGTTGAAAATTAAGGCTGCTGGGCTGCAACTGGAACGAAGTACACCGAATAGCTTTTTGTATATATTATATTTGATATATTTTTGTATCACTTAACTGTAAGTTATTTATGTTACAGATTGTGATAATATAAACCAAGGCAATTTTAGAGCCATTTTAAAATACCGTGCTAATGGTGATGACTATTTAAAAAGTATTTTGCAAAAAGAAGGAAGAAATGAATTCATTTGTCCCCAAATTCAGAATGAAATAATTTCAGTGTGTGGTGATGTAATTTTGAAAAAGATTGTGAATCAAGTCAATGACTCAAAATGTTTTACTGTGTTGGGCGATGAAACCATTGATATATCAGTGGTTGAACAGTTAACCTTAGATATGTTGACAAAAATAAAAATGTGAATGAAGATTTTTTTAAATTTATTTCTGTTCAAAGTTTGACAGGCAAAAATTTAGCAGATTCCATACTGAATGGTAATTGAAAAAAATATGGCTTACATTTTTTAAAACAATTTATTTTGATAATTTAATTTGGTATAATAGGATTGATGAGTTGTTGTGGGGTTGACTGCAAATATTTATGTGGACAAGGTTATGATGGTGCAAGTAATATGGCAGGCCACATGCAAGACGTTCAAGTCCATATTAGAGCAATGAGCAATGTATCCTAAAGATTTGTACATACATTGTGCAGCTCATTCTTTAAACTTGGCTATCTCAACAGCTAGTAAAATTAAACCTATGAGAAATTGTTTGGGAATTATAGAAAAGTTGTATGTTTTTTTTAATACATCCAAACGTAACAATGTTCTGCTGTCTTGTATTGAAAATAGTGATACCGATATAAAAATGAAAACTCTTAAACGTCTTTGTGCCACAAGATGGGTACAAAGATATGATTCGGTTCACGATTTTGTTGAGCTATTTGAGTTTGTCTTAGAAGCATTAGAGACTATTTTAGAGTGGAATGGTTCATCAGGTTCCACTACAAATGCAAATTTACTACTGAAAGCTATGGATTCTGAGTTTATAGTGTCAGTTTATGTTGTTAAGGTATTATTTTTTTTTATAAATCTTGAAATTAAAATAAGTATCTATAGATTAAAGTTATGTAATTAAAAATGCCATTTCTTATGTATTTAGCTGTTGTTTTAATTTGGTCTTTCTTTATGTAAGCAATTACAAAAAGAAAGGATTGATTTAAAGAAAGCAGTTAGCCTGACAAAATACATTGTTTCAGAATTGAAATCTATGAGAAGCCACTGTGATAACGAGTTTAAAAAAATATTCCTATAAGCAAAGGTTAAAAAAATGACACAAATATATGTTAAGTATATACTAGTTATTGAATAAAACACTAAAAAAAAAAAAAAAAAAATAGGTAATGGCTGTTAAAATGAATATTGAGTTGATAGTCAAACGGTAAAATAAAAGACAAACAAATCGAGCAAATCCAATGTCTGATCAAAAAATGGATGTAGAAACTTACTATAAAATAACTGTTTTTATACCATATGTTGATTATTTCATAACTGAATTGGAAAATAGATTTTTGGCACACTCAGACATTTTCAAAGGTAGTATAATAATATAATAATATGTTTATCCAATTAATTAAATATCCTCCCCTAGAACCAAATCATAACTACGCCACTGAATCGTATTGTCTCTACCGAGTTATCGTCTGGTGAGTATTATTTTATTAATTATAAATCTATAAATTGAATGATATGTTTTGTATACATGCACATAATTACATGCACTTAGCTCCTTAAATTGTACTGATTTAAATAATATTTTTCGACAATTTTAATATTAAGTTACCAATCAACTGAAACAGCAAAAAGTAAAAAATAATTATAAGATTTTGTATTTGTATAATTTTGAAGTATTAACATAATATAGGTAAGGTTATAATATTTGTTCTACTATTATATTTTATAATATTTTCTTTTTATTCTTACAACATTTAGTTACAATACAACATAAAATTAACTTTAAATCTATTTAATTATAATTAATTAAAATATAAACAACACAATGTTAATTCATAATGAAATACCTAACAATAGATTATAACACGATAAACTATAATAAGGAATTAAGGTGAAATCTTTGTTAATTGTTCTTTAGAGGCAATCACTAGGGCTGTAGCTATACTCCGTTTCAAAAGAGATTATACCGGCCGACGACCGGTTTTCGTCTGGTAGTGCGCATACTCCCACCAACGATCCGTCTAACGGCACGTTGTCCCACCAACGAACTATTAGCCGTTGAATCACAGGTGGTTTATACAGCACGTTTAAAATTTCACTTTTTCTGGCGCGTTTATTAATTTATACATGTTTTTTAAAACACTCTCACCGCCTTTCGCAGTGTAAACATTATTTGTTTTTTAAATGTTTTTTTTTTTTGCAACTTGAAAATAAATCAATCATCACCAGTCAAACGTAATTCTCATGGAAAGGTAAGCATACAACGAATAATATTGCATTAAATAGTGTTACACAATATATTTCACTAAATTTTAAGTTAGTCATAGGCACACATATTTTGCTGCTTCATAACCCCCTCCCCCACACACACCACCATTATCACAACAGCATCACGTCATCATTCCTCGGGTGTAGATGTTTAACATCTACATATCTACCTGTAATATAATACTAAAATAATAATCATACTTACCGTACTGTTGTTTTTTTCTTAAAATTATTAAGTCTATTAGTTTTTTTTTTTAATACTTTTACACCTTGACGGTGTCTTTTTTTAGCCGCTTCTTTTCGGCATTCATTATTTAATAAATAATCAATTAAATGTGTAATTAATTCTATAGGTATAAGTGGTATAATAGTTTTAAATAATACACTCTGATGACCGATTGAAACTAAACTGATTACTGAAATATAAATAAGTCATAAGATGTAATCTGAAAATGGTCAATTGTTCGCGAACCTCTGCATAATAAACTTAGGTTCAAAACCAAATAATATTATAATTATTATTGTACGAAATACGATCAATACGAGATCGTGAAAGCCGACATTATCGTAACTTTATACTCCAGCAGTTTCTATTTTTATCTATATCGCAGATGGACTGGTTGTGTTCTAGAGTGAGGTGGCGACTGAATAATTTTAAAATAACGCAGCTAGCCGCTATTCGTTATAGCACTATAGCAGCGCCAGTTGATGGGCTAAAGAATTATACGCTTTTTTCGAAAATCCTTCTACGTATTTTAAATGCTACGAAGTTAATAATGATCGCAGACTAATAAAAAGTATACTGTTAGAAAGGTTATAATTTTTGCTGTGTTTTGTTAGAAATTGATTTCTGAAAATGTTATTACTTATTAACAAGCGAGTATTATGACATAAAAAAAAATCTTTTTACTAAATAAATACTAATTTACTTATATTTCAGAAAAATAAATTACAATTTCAAATACCCGATTCCAACAAAACATAGTAAAACATTCTAACAGTATGAATTTTATTAGTGTGCGATCATTATTAACTTCGTAGCATTTGAAATACGAATGCACTATTTTTGATGCAAAAAGGCGTGTGTGGCGTCCTCTTAACACAATAAAACTTTGGTCTGTAATCTATGAAGAACACTCCTGCTCAGTGCACGTTTATCACTTATCACTTCCTGTTAGCCAAAATCAAAAATCGCATTACTGCATATTCTGTTACCTACTTATATTTAAAAAAAGTTCTATTAAACTTATTTTTTTAGAAATAATTCAAGATTTGAGATGGATGTACAATAATTCATAATATGATTAGTGTATGCACTATAAAATATTATCTGTGTATTTGAAATTTAAAAGCAAGTTATCAAAACCACATTTATTTTCACATTGCATTGAATAAAGTATAAATAAATGTACTAAGTAGTAATAAATAGGTAAGTATTCCTTTAAAAGTGTTGTTATATTGTTATGTTACAATTGTGTCTAGGTACATTCATAGCCGTTTATATACGTTGTTTAGTACGCAAATTATGTGTATTATTGTGTAATTTTTAAAGAATTTATTAAAAATTTAAAATATATTTATACTTCTATAAAATAGAATAAAGTATAATGAATTTTCTACTTTGATGATTAATAATTACAATCTAAAATTTTGTTCACAAAATTATAAATGAGATAAGTATATAACTAGGTGTATATAACTTATGTAATTTCAAAAAATGGTAGATATTGAAATATAATTATTATGTTTCTATTGAATGAAAGAAGTATGACGTACTAATATATATAAATGTATTTATATATATATATTTATCCTAGACGGCTAGACACATATTATGCCAACTTACACTTATTCTGTATTATCACAGAGTCCTACCATAATAGTCATATAGGTATGACTATATTTTGAATGTTTAATACAATTTTTAATAATTAATAATTTTAATAATATAATCCTTGGGTCTAAGTACTCTAAGTACTACTTATTCGCGTGCTGAAGCAGTCTCATTTCGCCACTTGCTCCATGTTAAGTAAAATGTATTAATATTTTATTTCTATATACATTAAATTATACTCGTATTTTGTCTAATATTATCAAATTTAAAAAAAAAGGGTGGGTAAGTGGATATTTCTCTGTTGTATAGTAAGGGCGAAGAGTAAGTTACTTTAATGTTTAAATGTTAAATTTGAATGCAATGATACCTATATATGAACGGAAATGATTTGTCATCTCTATAATTAAATAACACCTTGTATTTCATTTTCAATTCTTAAGCTTTTTATACAAAGTTTTTGAAAAATGTTTGATTAATAAATAATGAGCAAATTTAATATGTGATTTTCACCAACTATGTCAGTATTCTAACTTCAAAAGCTTATATAAAAAAAAAAAAAAAAAAAACAGCAACTATGTATTTTGATAAATTGTGAATTACTGTAAGATCAACTTTTGTGGAACCTTTCATTACATTTTCAAGTACATATTGTCTAAGCAAAATTTTTTTTATCAATATTTATAAAAAAAATAACTTAAAAAATCAAATATTTTAAGCGTCTATTACTAGCATAACAATTAGAGAAATATTTTCACTATTGCTGGTGAAGGTTTCAAATTTTTACGAATTATACATTTTGAGGTAAGGGGTCATGTGTTCGAATGCTGTATGTTCGAACGCTAAGTGTACGAAAGATTGTCTGTACGAAAGATTATCTGTTCGAAAGGTCGTATATTCGAAATTATCGATAATTGAAACATGAATTTTACCAAAATATTTATTATTCGTTGATTCGATTTTCTGCGTAAAAAATTAAATTTAAAAATATCAAAAAGTCGTAAAATAAATTAGTCGTTAATAAATGTAAATGCTAAATAAAAAAAAAAAACTAAAAAACTTAAATTATACGATATTCCTCTTAGAAACTCAATAATACTTATGTCTACATTTCTTAGTCTTAGAACTAATTTTTTAATTCTTTGTTCCCGTTCTTCGTTGCATGTTTTTTTTTTTTTACTTGTTCGGCCTTGAATGATTTGCTCTATAGAGTTTTCAGTTTCATTCTGAATTTTTTGGAACTGTCTCATCAATTTGTAAACTCCTGGTTGTTTTGATATTAATCTATAAATATTTTTTAATAGTTTAGTTATAAGTTTATAATAATTATGTTATGGTTATTGATATATTGTTTCTACCTATTAAGTCGACCGTGCCATGATTCAGCAATATTTGTTGTTCTTGGCAAATTTGCATCAACTCTTGAAGCTACTGACCACATGTCAATTTGGGAATAAGGGAGGGTGTCGTTGAGGTTTAGTACGTCCGCGTAGTCTCATAGCTGGTTTACCTTAAATGTAAGTATTTTCGAAGTATTCTAAAAGTGATTGTTCTCTTTCGTTGTCACTAAATAATAATTTCACAATTTCCCAACCTTCGATTACCTAAAAAATATAATATATTTTAAAAATTTCAAGTTCTCACGAATAATATTATTAACATTGCATGACTCTGAAATATTAGATAATAATAAAATAAATAAAAAAATTTAAAAAAAGTAAGTTTTAAGTAATTTTTTTTTTAATACGTACTTTATTTACTGGAAGAAAAGAAAGAGCAGGTAAATGTCGACAAATCAAATTAAATTCCGGGTCTTCCATATACTTTATAGATAGCCCTTCTTTTTGAATATGGCGCCAGATATTTTGACAAAAGTGAAAAAAACAAGCAGAATGAGTTACAAATGGAAAGACGTCATTGATCGCGTTGATTGAAGCTTTTTCAAAGTCCGTTATTATTTCAAGTTCCTTATTACTTTCGAA